TCGACTTTTATAAATAGAAGGGTGAGTCAAACCCTAGAGGTATGCTCACAATACCCTACACTTTATACTCCGATCCTAACTTAAGTATCGGAGCCCGTGTGGCAAGAGCCACACTAGTCTTAGTGTTATTCTGTTTTGCAGGTCTCGTCGGTCCCTTTATTCTAGAAGCTTGGTGCAAATATTGGCGGAATCCTAAGAAGCCAAATTTCTGCATCAACAAATTTGAAGTTATTTTTCTTGTTCCCAGGCATTCATGAAGACCAAGGTATCGGTCATCATAGGTAACATTTCTAACCAACATAATATTTTGCTTATCTAAGACCTTGTCCCTTTCTTTGTATTATGACTTTGAGGCAATGACAGATTACCATAAATTATGATTTGGCTAGAGGCATGAGAATAGAAATACACAATCCTTATAGTCTCCGGGCATTTCTCTACTTTGCTTTGGAAAACAAAATACAAATAAAATTTAGGTACTAACGATAACATGGTATCTCTTACTTACCACGACTAAAAAAAATATAAGACTAAGAGAGATAGATGTATAAAGAAATAGAAAGAAAATAGTTTTTTAATTACTAGTAAGAAGAAACTTACTTACCGATAAACATATAAATTTTATCCATAAAATACAATCAACGAAAAGGACATATGAAAGATAGGTCGGGGAGAGTGAATCACCTTGTTAAAATTTGTGCTTGGTAGGGAGAGAAGGTGCGATTTTTTACCTCAAAACAGGTGGGCCCCTTCTATTACAATAATTTTTTAGAACGACCGACCTAACTTTAAACATTATTAAAGGCTTAACGGTACATTTGGGAGTTATTTTGACCATTCTCATTGTCAAAATCACTTCCCCTTTCATAAATCATGTTTGATAAATTAAAAAATTTATTAAAAAAACTTGAAATCACTCTAAATTAATTTTTAAGATAGGGGTGATCTTAAAAAATCAATTATACTTAAATCTCTTTTTACAAAATTACTCATTCTACCCTCACTTCTAAACACACGAGTAGAAAGAGAAACAGCAGTAATTGGAAATAAGTCGTGACTTCATAAGTCGTGACTTCATGGTGTGTGTGTGTGTGTATATATATATATATATATATCACAGGTCAAACCAAACCAAAAAGATTCCAAGTTGAAGGTTTCAAGGATAAAATTGTAAATTACATTACACGTCTGTCTTTCGTAACATACCAAACAACTAGAGTTTTAACCCGATCGCTGGATTGGTATGCATGTGTCTTGAGCTATAAGCTAAAGTTTTAAAAGAAGGCAGGTCCTAACCACAAATAGCTTGTCCATAGAAACACATCCCATAACAAACAAACAAGGTTTCAAAACACGATCGCCTTTCTAGAGCCATAAACAGGCTGTTGGGGACCGGACTTTTCAGGTCCGTCCTGAAAACATAACTAATCAGCAGTCCAACTTTGCTCGACAATCTCGCGTACTCTTCTGTTGTACTCGCGCTTGTTCTCACTGAACATCCGGGCAGCTTCTGAGTTGGCAGGAGAGTTCGGGTTCGGATCACATAGCAAAGACTGCAATAAGAAGAAAAATTGTGCACAAAATTCACCAAACGGCTCTTGACAAAGAGAAATAGAACAAAGTACGAACTGGCAGGCGCTCAATTGGATATGGTAGGCTTTTCAGTGAAACAAATCTGTGTGTGGCAGTAAGATATAAAATATTTGGCTAACTCCAAGAACTTGTCCATGGGTATTCAATAATCTCCACAACTACCATCTTGGAACGGAGTGAATATGACAGACGCATGAACTAAGCATTAGATGTTTAGGAAGAGATCGACCATTTGAGAATTGTTACATTCAGAAGTTGGACAATATGGGCCCTTTAGGAAGAGTTCCATTAGCAACCACACAACAAACACAAAATATGTATCTCTATATATAGACACAAAATTCACAAACATTTAACATGCACGTGCACATTTAACTACTGACATATATAATTATGGAATGACTTTTTCTTTTTTTTTTCTTTGGTAACTCCTTACTTCCAGTAGGCGTGATAGGGTAAAAATAAAATCAAAGAAAAATGGTGGTTTAAAGAGTTTGAGGTTTTTTTTAAAAAAAAAAAAAAAAAACTGCCAAAATGAGGTCCTCTCAAAGAAAGAGAGACTCAAATCCAAAGAATAACACCAAACTACTAATTTAAAAAAACCTTAGAGACCAACGCCACAGGAAAGAATTAAAAATCTAAAAATCTAAAAAGCTCCCATACATACTCCCAAGATCTCTCAACCCCCTAAAATAAATTCTATTATTTCTCTCAAGGCAAATACCTCACAAAATAGAAAAAAACAAGCCTGCCACATAAACCTTCCCTTAGGATAGGGAGCAGTTACTTTGGCTGATTAATGTTTTAGGGAAGGAATTAAAACTTACTTCAAACCTGAAGTTATTCAAGAAACAAGGTGACATGGAGGTTCCTCCTTATGAGTGGGAAAAATCATTAATCAGAGAGTATGGTTCCCGGAACTAATGACGTCAGATGAAGGAAAAAAGATATGTCGTGCCACTGGGGCCTGGGACAAGTATAGAGGGTGTTGGATCTTTCCAATCCCTTGACTGGAGTCCAGGGGAGAACAACAAATCAGTAAGTACTCAGTCCGGAAGTGGTGGGGGGCAGAGAGGACCAAGAGAATGAAGAGACATTCTGGAAAACAGTAAGATGGAATTTAATATGGTTGACTGGGAAAAAACAATCGTGATAACCAGGCTATGCTTTCACGATTACTGGTTTAGTTAATAGGTAGGTATTAAAAACTATCAGAGGTTTGTGATTTAAATCCATTTCAACTAGACAGTGCTTTGATGTCCTGCGCTTCAATTGAGGGGGCTAACTTTCTGTGCAATTATGTGGGGTGGGCAAAAGTTGGCAAGGTGGATTAATAACAAGAACAATAATAATAATAATAGTAATAATTAATTATATAATAAAACAAATCTGACGACAAAATTACCAGTATGGAATTGAACACAAGATTTTGAAAAATACAAAATTCAATAGAACAAAGAAGGATGAAATTTGTGAAAAGTAAATCAGAATGCGTTTAGAGTAATAAGGAATGCAAAACGAGGTTGAATCTTCATTAAATAATCAACCAACTGAAGGGAAATGTTGAAACTTGCACAGAAACAGAAAACTTCAAATCAGATTATACGAGTAGAAGAAAAGAAAATTAAGTGATTTGTCAAAAGAATCAAATCTAATGGCCTCTTGGATTTAGAAAACCTAGAAAAGTCGGTAATTCCATTGATACCTATATTACCAGGGCAAGATTAGAGAAAAAGAAGTCAAGAAATCTGGCAGATGGGGAAAACTATGAAAAGTAAAAAATGGAAATGGAAATGTAAATGGGAGGGGACGAGACTTCTTTATGAAGATCTTATCTAGGAACATGTGAATTAGGGTCTACAACAAAAGAATTGTAGGAAAATATACCATTAAGAAACCGTTTAGCTCCAAGAAACTGAACTAGAGAAAACAGTTAGAAGAATGATCAAATCAATATGGGGATCATAGGAGGTAACTGTCAAGTTTGGTCAGAGGTAGATTCTTTAGGAAGGCAACATTTTGCAGAAGTTCTATGGTCCAAAATCCAGAGGACGGTGAAAATCTTGTGGTTAATGCAATCAAGACAGTGAATTCAGAAATTTGGTTGGAAAAGATTTACTGATTCTTCAATGACGAGGAAAGCAAATGGTATGAACTTCTTCAAATAGCTAAAATTCATTGTTTTTTTTTTTTTATTTTGCTCCTTGTCTAATTATAATTCTAATCATCGATCCCTTGTAATAAACCTTAATCGGGTTGCATTGTTGTAAGCTGCAACCTGAAATTGGTTTTATTTGCAACTTTTTTGACCTCATAATAGAAAAGTTACGTCTCCTTTTCAAGAAAAAAAGAAATATATATATGTATATATATATATTTCTAATCCCCCTTAGTCAGATCTATTTATAAATAAAATAAAATATTTACAAAAAAAAGTTTTCCATTACAAAAATTATTATTAATAATAAAAGGTCAAATTGATTTATTTCATCCAGACTAGCACCAACAATCAGTAAGATAGGACTACCTGGATAGAGGTAAGTATGGCAGCTACGTCATAGATAGGACTCCACTGATTTTGCAGAATATCCAAGCAAATACTTCCGTCAGCATAAACTGAAAAATGTCCAGGAGAGAGAGACGAGTAAGACTAAGACTAAGCAGTTAATACTAGTGTCAAGTCTTTAAAGGCCCCGAGAAAACAAAGATAACAAATTGAAGGTGGTCAGCAACATGCTCATGCTCATTCTGGAGTTTCATTCAATCCAGAGCCATTCTGCAGCCAACTTGTGTACCTGTCTTTATACCCCTTAATAAATTGCTTATATGCTTCATTAAACATTTGTGAGACATGGAAAATAACTCACAAGTACATTCGGCATTCTATATCAAGTTCTAAGTGTCTTCAGAAAAAAAAATAAAGATTGATAATTGCAGACCTAGAGCAAATAATCACTACATATGAACTGATGAAATCAAGATCCTATCTTAAACTAAAAGGATCATTTTTATAACTGCAACTTAAAAACAGTGCAGTTTCAAACTTACTATTTGGATGGAACATTCGAGAAACAAAGCGGACGGTGGGTGGCTTGTTTGGATAATCCTCTGTAAATTGGAGCGTCAACTTAAACGTACCTGGTAGTTTCAAAGACAAGACATTGGATATGAATCCGAACTAAAGCAATTAAGAAACTTAAAGTTCAAACAAAAATTAAAAATTATTTAGATCATCATCATCAATATCTCATTTGTAGTCTCCAATATCAAGACGGTCCTTTCAATTTAAACAGGCAGCAGAAAAGCATAAATCTTTAACTAATTGTTTTTCAAACTTCCAAAACGTAAGAGACAATAATGTTTTCAACATTTCAAAATTTGAATGGTGAACAAATATGAATATTAAAACTGGACTAAATTATAAGATACTGCAGACAGCAAAACCAGACTTTCATCCAAAAGAGAACTATATGGCGTCTACAAGTATTTTCTTTCTTTACTTTCATTTCATAATTGTTAGAGTATATATTAGTATATTTTATATTCTTGTATTAATATTAATTTTTCATTTACCTTCTCCTTATAGGATTAGGTCAACTTTGTATATTTGTCTATATATATAGACTTTAATAATGAGAATACTGAACATTGAATTCTCTCCAACCTTAGTCTCTAAGAGCTCTAGGTTTTTTAGGTTTCTTGCCCATTAGGGTTTTGATGCCCATTAGGGTTTTGCGCCCATTAGGGTTTTGTGCCTTAGGGTTTTTTGTTCATTGCTATCCAACACTATCGCCGACCACCGCCGACCACCGCCGACCGCCGCCGCCTGTTTTGTTTGGTTCAAGTGGTTTGATTTGGTTCTGTCGTTTTGTTCAAATAAGTTCGCTTGTTTGTTATGGCTGAGAAGATATCAATCGTAACTTCTGAGGTGATCCCAATGATATCAAAAATCACAGAACACAAGTTGAATGGATCAAACTATTCTTCATGGAAAATCAATGTTCGTCTTTTTTTGCGAAGTATTGATATGGACGATCACATAACTGAGGATCCGCCTAAGGATGAGAGCAAGAAAGCTTGGTTACGGGATGATGCTCGACTAGTTCTGCAGATCAAGAATTCGATCGAGGGTGACATTATTGGCTTGGTCAATGAATATGAGTATGTTAAAGAGTTACTTAAATATTTAGAATTCCTTTATTCTGGAAAAGGAAATGTTAGTCGAATATTTGAAATCTGCAGGAGCCAATGAATGTGAGTATGTTAAAGAGTTACTTAAATATTTAGAATTCCTTTATTCTAGAAAAGGAAATGTTAAGTCGAATATTTGAAATCTGCAAGCGCTTCTACCAACCTGAGTTTGGTGACCAATCTCTTACAAATTACTTTATGGAACACAAAAGAATTTACGCAGAGTTTAATGCATTACTCCCAGATAGTAATGATGCAAAAGTTCGGCTTGCCCAACGCGAACAACTAGCAGTTATCAGTTTTCTTCTTAGTCTTCCACCTAGATTTGATGTGGCCAAAGACCAATTACTCTCTGGTTCGGAAATTCCAGCTTTAGAGGAGGCATACACTCGAGTACTTCGAGTTGAGAAGTCACAACCCGTCTTGTCATC